GGTTTAATTTATTTTTTTCAATTAAGTTTATATGCGTTGAAAGTTAACATGAATTATCTAGGAAGACTAGAGATTTTTTTATTGGTTTGGGGGGGGGGGGGGGGAGTTGTTAAATTATTTAAAAGAAAAAAAGGGCTCCTTCTTTCTGTGATACCCAATTGCCTAGAGACAAATTATTTTGGAAAAATTACAAACTAGGAAAGTATATATAGATTGGAGTTAGACGTGAGCCAACCTATTAGCCACAGGAAAATTTGCTTGGGTCTAGGTTTGGGACATTGAACATCGCTATTCATGGTACCACATGGGTGACTAAGTTATGATCGCGATCAGGAATGTAATTCCTCTGAAAATATTTATGATTTGTAGATGATTAACGGTGATTATTTAATAAATGAATTATTTTACACAATATTTAATCTTCTATGATTTTTTTGTAGTTTAATAAATTAATACTATGAACTATGCATAACCAGTGATAATAAATAATAGTGATTGGTTTTTTATTGAAAAAATTTGTATTAAATTTTTGCCTTATGCTCATTGCGTTTAAAATAAATTAAATAATAACAATTTAAAAAATAAAAAAATAAAATCAGATAAAAAAAACGCCGCGCGGGTCCCGGTTTGGGAGCGCGACAGCACATTGCAGCCGCGCCCGATGTTGCACGCTGGTCTGTTTCAGGACCGGCCTGACGTAGATCACACAGGCACCCTGTGATTCTTTTTCCATGGAGAGTGCAATTAATAGGTTCGACCAAATGATTCAAAATACCCTAAATACTTATCGTCATCTGTAGTTTACTTAACATCCACAATACATAATAAGGATACGAGAAAATGTCCCAAACAACGAAAAATTATAACCATTAACTCTCTGAAAATCAGATAGCGACATATATATATATATATATATATATATATATAGTATATACTATATATATATATATATATAATATAATATATATCATATATATATATATATATAGTTATACAACTGTAATATGCATAACTTAAGTGGACGTCCAACTAATCTTTCTTAGTCATGTGATGACAAGCTTGATTGACTAACATTGTGGAGATCCGTTTTTCCAGTTAAACTTGATCTAAATAATTCTAAAACCCAACAACAGACCCCCAGTTCGGTAGTATATGCGTCACCAAAAATTTGGGATGAACCCCGTCGTGATTTGACGGCCTTGCCGTCGAGCCATGATAAAAAGTTCTAATCAATCGAAACCGTTAAAATTGATACGATGTGGATGAAGGGTCAGAAGCCACGACGGGGTTCCACCCCCAAATTTGGTGTGTTTGTGGTTTTGAGAATCATGTAGAATCAAGTCACGGAGCGGATCATCCACATCGTAGGGCTCATCAGTGATGCATCAATGACTAAGAAACTTAGTGGACGTCCGCCACTTAAGATTGACGATAAGTTTTTCTATATATATATTATAATAAGTTTTTTAATTTTATTTTTATTTTTATTTTTTAATTTTATTTATTTATTTATTTTTAAGAATACATAGCAAAAAATTTAAACAAATTTTTAATAAAAACAATCATATTATTAATCACTTGTAGTTATATAATTTATAAATACAAAAAATCATAGAAATTAAAATGATAAAAATAATTTCTTTATTAATAATCAGTTAATCATCTACAATTATAAATTTATTTAAGAATTTGTCGCATCATAATAGATGAATACATCCTAACTAGGTTGGCACCTACTCATCTATATTACTTTCATTTGTAATTTTTTCCAAAATAATTTATCACAAATTTTTAGGTAAGAAATAAAAATTACAAGCTGATGAATAATCTATAATCTTTATCTCTATCTGCTAGTCTTAGCTCTTCAAATTTATCTTCAATACTAGTCATCCGTTTGATGCCTTACGTTCTCTTCTCGTACCGCCACCAATCTTGTAGGCACATTATCGCCTGTACGGTATACGGATCTAACGATGTCCTGTGGTTGTCGATCAAACGTCCTGCTGTGCTAAAGGCGGATTCCGAAGCTACCGTGAAAACCTGCACTGTTAGTAAGTCACGAACCATAATGGAAAGTATAGGATATGAAACTGTTCCAAATACTTTCTACCATTGCAAAATATCGAAACTATTATTTTGACATTTAACTAAAGATGCAGTTAAATATTGACCAATTTCAGAAGCTTCCGTTGATAATCCAAGTCCAGATCCACCAGTTAGCTCAACTACCATTAATTCCCTATCAAAACTCATATTCCCTATCAAAACTCACACCTTTGTCCCGACTTGAACTCATCGAAACAGAAACTGTAGAATAATGTGTATTTACACCATATCTAATTGCATACTCATCATATAATCTTTGAAAATAAATCCTAATAGTATTATATAAGTATAAGCAGCAATAGTTTGACCATCATCAGTATCTATTATCATGTCACCATACAAAGAATTTAACAAACTTCAAAGACCAGTATCCTTCAAACATGGATCAAATAGAACCCCAAACCAAAAATAATAGGAATATGCCTAAAATACTTATTAAATTTACTTTTCATTTGAAAAATCATATTTCTAAAATAATTATCCATACTATAATTATTAATTATTTTGAATATTTAAAACTTGTAAAACAGCTTGAATAATAGTTGGATAATAACGAGTAGATAATAACATAGTAGCATCATAAAAAACGTGTAACATCTCTTTTACACTATATATAACTATTCATTCATCCTCAGTTATTTCATACATACTATCAGAGCTAGAACTAGAAGTATAGAAAGCAATAAAATCATTTATAATTTCTTTATACTCTATTGCTACATTTAACATTGCATAGGTAGAATTCCACCTATAGTCAACATCTTTTGGAACTAGTCTGAGTTTAAAATTTTTTTCTTTTACACAATTATTTTCATCTTTTAAGTCTTTGTTCAGAAGCATTATGAGCATAAGCTAATGTCCTAACCTTTTCTATCATGGATTTAATTTCATTAAATGCGCTTTGAACAGTTAAATTTAAAACATGACACGTACATCTAATATGAAAAATATCACCATGACATGACAATAGCAAAGATGATTTGATATAATTAACAACTACATTATTATTACTTGTATTATCTAGTGAAAGAGAAAAATAATTTTTCTAAAATTTCTAATTTTATAAGTTCTTTTATTTTTAAATTTGCAATATTAATACTACTATGTGAATCTTCAAATGCAATAAAAAAATAACTCTTTTAAATATTTGCCAATTATTATCAATCTAATGTGCTGTGATACATAAATAACCAGTTTGTGCTCTAGATGTCCAAATATCAGATGTTAAAGAAAATTTACAGTTTAAACTTTGAAAATAAGAAATTAATTTTGCTTGTTCCTCGTGATAATATTTTAAAATATCACTTTGATAAGATTGACGAGAAATTTTTTTAAATGCGGGATAAAAACCATCTGTAAATATATATATTTAAATTCATCATCTTCTACTAATTTAAAAGGAATGTTTTTAAGAAAAATAAACATGGTGATGCATTTCCTGACTCAAAGTGCGTCATAGTTCCAACTACCGAGACTATCGGAAGATGAGGATTGAGAGAGTAAAGATTGTCGGATATCACATTGAGGCGTTGCCTAACCTTTATTGTGTTTCTCTAAATAACGATTGAAGTGGTTGGTGCCACCCTTATGATGAGCTTGGAAAATATGGTCGTATAACGGACACTTAGCCTTTTAGGTGAGAAGCCTACCGTGTTGATCGTTGGTGACTTCTATCTTCGCGAAAAAGTTCCACAAATCAGATCTCGGCCTTTTAGGAGCTCTTGGTGCAGAATCGTCGCCACCGGAGTCGTGATCGACATCGGTAGGAGTAGGAGTAGTTGTAGCTCCTGTAGTAGGAGTATTAGGAGTCATTTCAACATCGGGAGTTGGAATTTAGTGATTTCAACATCGGGAGCTGGAATTTACCCTTCATAATCAAAGGAGGAAACCATTTGATTGAAGAATTAGAGAGCAGAAGAGAGTATTAGAGAGAAGTAGATGAGTTTTGGATGAGAAAAGAAATAAAACTCTTTCTATTTATAGAGGCAGACCCCTAGACAAATGACCAAAATACCATCATATTTTGATCGTTTTTTGGTCAAATAACACAAACTAGCTGTTATAACCGTTCGGACCGGGCTGCCCGGCCAAAACGGTCACGAATTTGACCGTTGTCCGGCCTGGTCCGACCGACCAACGGTCACGAAATGACCGGCCTGG